CAAGGATAGAGCTCGCCTAACAGCGTTGAAGCTCAATTGGATGAGATTCGCCTGCACAGCTCGCCTGCACACCCTCGCCTGCATATTGAACCAAGCTCGCCTGAAGGCTTAGCTCGCCTGACAGCTCGAAGCTCACCTATTTGGCCGACTCACCAGCACGAAGGTTCAAGCTCGCCTGAAGACCAAGCTCACCTGACAGCTTGCACCTCGCCTACACGGACTAAGCTCGCCTAACAACTAGAAACCCGCCAGCATTATCAGCTGCCCACTTGGAGTATGGGAATAGTCACACCAGTGGTCAAATCCCACGAATCAAGGGAGAAAGCATGGTGCTCCTCACCTAGCAAGAATAGGACGGCTGACAGGACCCCCTAAGTGGTCACATCCCACAGCTAGGGCGGCTGGCTCCCTTACCCCTACAAGTGGTTAAATCCCACAAATCAAGGGATGACCCATGCCATCCCTTGCCTATTTAAAGCCACTTTCAGCCAACGTGAAAGAAGTTGATTAGTTGCTTCTTGCTTGGCTGGCTAATCTTCCAAAGGTTGAACTTTGGCTCATTTGCTAAAGGCTCCCTCATTTGAAGAGACTCGTCTGAACTCTCAGACTTGAGGCTCTTAGGCTCTTTGCAAGTTCTTGCATGGTAGATCTCTCCAAGCAGTTAGCCGACAAGCACAAGCTTTCGCTTGGCCTCAGTTGATCGAACTCACCCAATCAAGCTTCTACTGCGCACTGAAGCTCTCCTGCAACCTTGATGGAATCATCCAAGGGAAGCAAACTCGGTGCGAGAACTGAGCGAGGCGTCCTATCGCTACCAAAGATCCCATGTTAAACAAGGAGGGTATTCCCTCCGCTTCTGTTGTAATTTTGATTCATTTAGTTTGTAATAAGCTGTTCTTATCAATACAAACGATATCCCTCATTTCGGGAAATCAAAATTTACACCTACAGTCCCTAACAATCTGGTTTGAAGATCTGTTTTTCAATTTAAAAATCCTCCAATTTCGCTTTTTCCAAATGTTGTAGACCACTGCTGAAAGAGCCATTCTTTTCACTCTCAGTTTGAAGCCTTTCACCCTTAATCTGTTACAGTACCAATCAAGAAGCAAATTCCAATCACATGTCCGCCAATTGAACTTGAGCCATTCCATAACCTTATTCCAAACTGCCATAGAAAAACTGCACTCAAAAAACAGATGTTTATGGCTTTCGGAACCTCTTTCACATAGAGAGCAAAGATCAGATTGGATGACTCTTCTTCTGAGTAATCTATCCTTTGTGAGTAGCCTATTTTGAATAGCCAACCACAAAGCAAAAGAGTGCTTAGGAAGATTAAAACTCTCCCAAACTGTATCGGACCAATGTACTGATACATTGGTATTAACTGGAGATAAGAGTTTATATAGCTCAGAGAGGTGAATCTTTGAGTGCTTGTAACAAGACCTGATACACTGTATTAGATTGTCAGTTCCTCCAACTAGATTCACAGCTTTGTCCCTTGCTTTTAACAACTGTTTTCATAACCAAGAATCACCAGATTTCATTCTCACTTGCCAAATGTTTGAGGTTTTTAAGTAGATGCTATGAACCCACTTAATCCACAAAAACTCTTTGTTAGAATGCACATACCATAAAGTTCTCATTGCAGTAGCCATGTTCCAAGTAGTGGCAGAATAAACTCCAAGACCTCATTGATTCTTCCCTGAGCAGATTTTTTCCCAGGACACAAGTGGGGCTGTGACCCTATGATTAGATCTCCCCCAAATGAAATCCCTGCAAAGATCATCAATCTTTTGTAGAACCTTTGAAGGCAGTATATAACAGGAAGTCCAAAAGATTTGAACTCCAAGAATGATGCTTTTAATAGTCAGCAATCTACCTGCATAGGAGAGAGTTCTGTGCTTCATCCAAACCTGAAATTGGCTAGAATTTTTTTTGAACAAGGGACTACAATAAACATAAGACAATCTTTTAGAAATCAGAGGTAAACCAAGGTATTTGAATGGTAAAACCCCCTCAGGAAATCCTATAAGATTGAAAATGTCATTCTTGATAGCATCTTCAACTCCACCATAAAAGATGGAATACTTTGTGAGATTTGCTTCAAGCCCAGAGATAGCACCAAAGTTCTTGACACACTGGTAAATTTTCTGAACTGAATTTACATCACCCTTGCTGAATAAAAGTAGATCATCTGTAAAGATTAGGTGGGATATCTTGAGACTTCTACATTTGGGTTGGAAATTAAAATTTCTGTCATTATTAAGCATGCTTAATTCCCTTGATAGATATTCCATGCTAATGATAAACAAATAGGGGGAAAGAGGATCTCCCAGCCTCAACCCCCTTGCTCCCTTGAAATACCCATGATAAGAGCCATTTAATGAGATGGTGTATTTAGGAGTTGAAATGAAAGTCATAATCCAATCTACAAAAGCTATAGGAAAACCCAAGCCATTGAGCATTTTATCCAGAAAATCCCAAATGATTGTGTCAAAAGCCTTCCGAATATCAATATTAAGCATGACTCTAGGAGATAGATGTTTTCTTCCATAGTTTTTAACTAGCTCATGAGCTAATAAGATGTTGTTATGAATTTGTCTTCCTTTTACAAAAGCACACTGAGCTTCACTGATGATAACCCCTAAGACAGACTGTATTCTGTTAGCAAGGAGATTACTTTGAACTTTGATTTATTAATTAGGTGAGGTTAGCAACACTATCTAATTAATAGATTGTGCTTTTTTAAATCTATCCAATTTCATCCAATAATGCTGCTTTTATAAATCTACCCAATTTCATCCAATAATGCTAATGTGACTGAAATTAGATTTATTTTTTTATGAATAAAATTAGGGAAAAATATGTACAGGCCCCAAAAGCAAAAACTTCATATGACGAGGCCCCTCATAGTTTTCCACGTGTGAATCAGCCCCTTGATGTGTGACACTTTGTACTGCAGCCCTTTTTTATCAATTATTACATGCCAGCTAAGCTAAAATCCCCAAATTATCCTTATCCTCTCTCCTCAATCCCTCAGACCCAGCACTCATATCCTCTCTCTCTCATCTCCCGTTACCGTAGATCGTCGTCGCTCCCCCGTCGTAGATCGCCGCCGCAGAGCTTGAGGAAAACGCTCGAAAAGCTCGGGCAATTGAAGACTGTTGAGGAGTGCAGTGAGATGATCCGAAGGTATGATGTTAATGAAGATAGTGTTTTATGCTTTGATGAATTTAAGAAGATGATGCTACGAGAGTAGGTTGGTTTTTGAGATTGATCATTACCGTAAATGATGATGTTGTTGCGCCCCGTTGAGATTTGGACATTACTTTTTTTTTAGATGACTTTGATCAATTGAGGGTTCATGTTGACAATATATCTACATTTTTAATTTCTCACATGACTGTGGATTTATCCTTATGAGCTTCTGTATTTGTAAATTATGACCGATTCTATTGTGGATGTTTTTTTTAGTCACCAGGCCGAGACACACAGAGCATTAATCCATTAGCTAGAAGAAGAAAAGAAAAACAAAGAAAAAATGTTTGACCAGCTACAAATAAATGAACAATTTAATTTTAAAAAATAGTCAAAAGTTGTCCCTATTTTTTCACTTTCACGAGACATCCATGCCTTTTTGGAGGAAGGTGAATTTGTAATAAACCTAATGTGCGCAATCTTTTTGTATTTTAATTTCGAACAAATTTTTAAAATAGACAACTTTTAAAACTTAATTAGCAATATAGGCTGAAAAAAATATTTAATTACTAAAAATCGTTGTAAGCTGGGACGGTAGTTATAAATCGTTGTTATAAATGAGGATACAATCATGTTTTTATAAATCGTTGTTAATTATATTTGATAATAGTCATACCTAATGATATGTTATTTCTAGATGCTATCGTGGTAGTTCTAGTAGCCCTCGAGTTAGTTCTAGCTGCTACAATTGTTAATTCTGGCTACTAAGTTAGTTCTAACCGCTACTTGTTATTTTTGTTTCTACCTTAGTTCTAGCTTCTATTACCCTAGTTCTAACTTGTATACAGCCAGTTCTAGTCCACACCTTGCTAGTTCTAAACCCAGCCTTCGTATTTTACCTTCACACTTGTTAATTCTTGCTTCTACGTTAGTTCTAGCTTCTATTATCCTAGTTCTAGCTTTTATACAGCCAGTTCTAGCCCACACCTTGCTAGTTCTAAACCCAGTCCGTGTTTTTTACATGCACACTTATTAATTTTAGCTTCAAGCTTAGTTCTAGCTTCTATTACCCTAGTTCTAACTTGTATACAGCCAGTTCTAGCCTACACCTTACTAGTTCTGAATCCAGCCTTCGTATTTTACCTTCACACTTGTTAATTCTTACTTCTACGTTAGTTCTAACTTCTATTATCCTAGTTCTAGCTTGTATACATCCAGTTCTAGCCCACACCTTGTTAGTTCTAAACCCAGCCCGTGTTTTTTACAGATACACTTATTAATTCTATCTTCTACCTTAGTTCTAGCTTCTATTACCCTAGTTCTAGCTTCTATTACCACGATTACTTTGAACTTTGATCTATTATTTAGGTGAGGTTAGCAACACCATCTAATTAATAGATTGTGCTTTTTTAAATCTACCCAATTTCATCCAATAATGCTGCTTTTTTAAATCTACCCAATTTCATCCAATAATGCTAATGTGACTGAAATTAGATTTATTTTTTATGAATAAAATCAAAGTGAGTCTATTTTTGTAAATACATATGAAAATATGTTTATTTCAAAAATCCCCCCTTTTAGATATATAACTTGGAATTTTTGGAGGTTAGCTAAAGCCAGGGATGATGTTGATAATTGATGCACATATAGTACGACTACAGTACAACAATGTTAGTAGTGGGACCCATTTGTAGGCCTGGCTACCTGCGGGCATTATTACCATAAGGGCAACCCTAGCCACACACTGCCTATTTGAATAGCGATCACAATACCTACACTCGTAGCCTTTTTCTTTTTTTCACTCTGGAGTTTACTCCCGGAATAAAAAGTGACAAACCATTCCCTACTGTTCCATATCGTCTATACTATCCTCCACTTTCATCTTCATCCTGATAATCTTCTTCATCTCCTGTTCATCTAAAAATGGATCTGGTCACTCCTCAAGAACACCTGTGCTATGTTCGATGCGCCTACTGCAGCACAGTTCTTGCGGTATTTAATGTCTTGTTTATTGGTGAAATATTGGATGATGTTCACACTTAGTTTTATGTGTATTACAGTTTATGGCTTTTGTAGACTCGTACATGACTAAGATCATAAGCCATCTTTATTAGTTAAGAGGAAAAACAAGTACGTGAGCATGTTATTTCAAAACTACTGGATCTTTGGATGAAATGTAGTAGTGAAGAGAGTTTTTAAAAAAAAAAAACTTGTTTCTTATTTTCTTCTCTCTCGATCTAGGTTTCGCATTAAGCATTCTATATAGGGGATCTCTGTCTAGTGTACTTTTTTTAGTTCCCTTCGAGGGAAAATTAATTTATACAATTTTTAAATTAAACTAGCTAGCTAGCCGTCTTCATAATTATTAAGTTGGGTTTTTCTCTACTTAAATATTCTATACTTATATAATTAATCAATATGGTGAATTAAATTTGTGAGTGCGGGTGGGAGTTCCTATACTTGTATAATCAATACGGTGAACTAAATTTGTGAGCGCAGGTGGGAGTTCCGTGCAAGAGGTTGATGGACACTGTGACTGTGAAATGTGGGCACTGCAACTCGCTCTCTTACCTCAACCCTAGACCAGCTGGACTTGTTCCATCACTGAATTCCTCCGACCATCACAACACTGGTTTTCAGGTCCATTTTTCCTTTTAATTTAAATGTATATTGAACATATCAAAATCTCTGCTACAACATGCTTGAAATGTGTTTTCAAATGTACGTAATTTATAATATTTTTCTTCAATTTTCTGGGCTATATATAACAAGGGCCAAGTCGAAACCTAGCTATATCTAGCAAATTTGTATACTGTGTTTTTGACTAAATTAGTTATGCTTTTCTTTAAAATCTGGGACTAGGGTCCTTGCAATGACTATAGGAAGGGTCATCCGCTAGTCCCATCTTCATCAACGTCATCTGAAGACACAAGCCCTAAAGCACCTTTCGTCGTGAAGCGTAAGAATACGCTCTTCTTCATGGATTATGCTTTTCTAAAGGTTAAGTGTAGCATGTACTGTTAAGTTCATTTTGTTTTTAGGGATTTTGTTTGGTCTTGTTCTACAGCTCCAGAGAAGAAGCACCGTCTTCCATCAGCCTATAATCGCTTCATGAAGTAAGAAATTTCTGTTTACATTGTTTAAAAGATTTTTGATTAACGCAACATGATATCTAGACTGATCCTTCCACTTTTGTGAACGCCCGAGTGCTTTAACAGCCCTAAGTCGTCAGAGATACGTATTAATATGAAAACAGTTTTATCCCCTAAATTAAATGGTTTAATTTAGCTGGTTAAAAGTGGCTAAATTACCAGATTGGTATTTTTTATTAACTCACTTTATCACTTTGATATTTTTTATTACTCCGACATGGTTTTGATATTTTTGCTTAACTCGATGGTCAGATAGGTCCAAAACATCGGTCGCCGAGCAAAAAAATTTAGTCCCTCTAATCTTCACTATTTTGATACTAGTCCCTCCATTATCTCTTTAACCGCCTAAACTTCCTCTTTTGCACTTTCAACCCTTTCCTTTGACTCCGCTACCAACCCCCACCCTCCGACTCCGCCGCGGGCCCTTTTAGACCTGAGCCTCTACTTCTCCCTCCTACAGTAAGCCCTATGATCCTGCCAATGATTCCAACACCACAATCACAGCTCATGGATTCTACTTGACTTCCTCCACCATTCTCTATGGCTAGATATCAAATTCGTAAAATAAAAAAGATTAAAGAGTTAAAAGAAATTTATTAAATAATCTAGGAAAGTTAAAAGGAATTTAGCCTACAATTTTAATGATTTGGAGGACTAATATCAAAATAGTTAAGATTTGAGGAACTAATTCTAATTTTTTTTGGCTAGTGCCAACTTTTTTGATCTGTTTGAACACTGGGCCAAGAAAAAAAAACTAAAATGATGCCGGAGTAATAAAACATACCAAAGTGATAAAGTGGGTCAATTAAAAATATCAATCTGATAATTTAGCCTTTTAAAAACTAATCAGTCACTTCGAGCTATAATTTGCTCAAAGACCAAGAAAGAAATGGTTCTTACTTAAATAATAGCACATTGGCACGATGCGATGAACGTGAAAATTATTTTAATTATATGATTAATCTTACATTTTTTTATAATAGTTTAATGATGATTTAACTTATACAATTTTGTTTTGGAGCTCAACATAGAAAACGTATCTTAAATTGCTATTTAACAATTAAATCCATCCTTTAACACAATGATATTGAGTAGTTTTCAAATTGAGGATAATATATTTAGAGTAAGTGATTAAGGTGAAAAAAAATGAGAATGTATATATCTAACTATACTACTATATGAACAACATAGTAGAGGTAATCAAAAAGTTGATGAGTGGTGGGCATATTCTCATTTTGTACTATAGTTGAAAGCGCAGAAAAGTAATTTAACAAGAGACATTTTCCTTTTATTCCCCATTTTTATTTTCTAGAATATTCCATATATCATATGGACATTTTATCTTTCTTTTTATTCTCTTTCTTTTTTAGTTTTTTAGAGTGTTCTATTCCACACTCCATGAACAAAGGATATGACCCCTATAATTACATATCTATTATATTTTAGATTCTAAAAGGAATATAACTTAAATTTATAAGTTCCTTTTAGAAAAAAAATATGTATAGCAAAAAGAAAGGCCAATGAATATCAAATATCTATTATATTTTAGATACTAAAAGGAATATAACTTAAATTTATAAGTTCCTTTAAGGAAAAAATATGTATAGCAAAAAGAAAGGCCAAAAA